ACACTGAGGTAACTGAAAATTCAAGCTGTGGTGAGCTTATACTTCAACAAGTTTATACATGAAACAATGTAGAGGATAATGAATATTTTGGGAGCATATATGAAGGACATATATCCACTCTGAATTTCGATTGGCATATGTACTCTTACATTTTAATATTTTAAATATATAGTATGGATTTGCAAACATGAAATATATGTGTCATACACTTATACTACCTTGATTCTTTCATGTCCATCTGTGTGTATTTATAATCAACTTTTCACAATATATTTCTCAGACATATTCATTTTCTTGACATACATATTCATTTCTGAATACTCAAAATGAACTTCAGTGAAGATTCAGTACTAACCCTAATATTTCTACAGTAAGTGACCCAGTTGAACATCAATTAAAGTATATTCATATGGGACATGATGTGTATTTTGAAGTAAATTTTCATTCAAAATTGTTAAATTCCTTTTTCTTCAGAAATGATACATCATAGGACGTATCATTTCATCCAATATTCACAAATTGATATGCATATGATTCACTTTCATTCACTCCTGGTATCAGAACCCATGGATTTCTCCATGTAGCTTTACTTGCTTTTTTATGAGATTTCTTTTATAACACATTACTTTTGAATTCCATCATCATTTTCGAAGCAAAACTCAAACACAGTTTGATATAATTAGTAACCCTAGTATTACCACTTGATGTATGATTACATGGATTGAATATTTGTATGTGAACACCAGATTTCATGTATTTTTTAAAATATCAATTCAATTCATTATTTAAAACAATAACCTGTTATAGTATTTTATTCACCGTATGGTCTATTCATGCATCATCTCTATATACGTAGATCCAGGTACACTAATTTTTATCCCCAAACCCTAAATCATAGGTTTTCAGAACATGCTCCGAGAAATAGTGGAAGAAATACGCATGTCACCTGCTCCATGTATTCCTGTAATCATATCATCTTCAGGACACAAAATGCAAAATTCACACTTTTCTTATTCTTCTACCAAAGCCTCATTTTAATGAGAGCATGGATTAATAAAGTCATCTATATCTGTGTTGCCTACTGTTTTCAAATTTCAATCCTACAGTGTGGATTCACTAGTGTCTTTTTAAGATAGGGTAATTCAACCACACCCTGTTCAAAAATATCCCTGATCTTGTCAGTCATTTGTACATTCCAGATCTCCTAACATTACTATTGATATCTATTTCCACAAGTGCCTCGTTGTGATTGACTCTTCATGTGTGCTTACATTCCCATTTACACTCTAATAGAAATTCATTCCATTGCAAAAAGGGCCATTTGTCCAAATCCTAAACTCATACTTCTTCCTTACCCTACACTGAAATCCTTCCTATTATCTCAATTTCACTGGAAGATCTGTTTTACATTCAGTAGTCCCAGGTACAAGATCTTATGCCATTGTATATGGAGTTAGAAGATTCACCTCTGCAGAACATAAATCAAAACTATGTATGCAAGTCAAGGGCCCAACACCCTTGTGTGCTTCAGATCTTACCTCGGTTTCTATTTTCATACTTGCATTTCACCTTACCTTCTATAAATATCCCAGTTGCCCAATACCCGTATTCATCCAGCAGAATGACTCCTAACCCAAATCGAACCTCATATGACCCTTAACCATACTCTGTTCCCTCCATCTATTTTCACATAACAGCAGGTCCTGAGTTGTTCTTGCCATGCAGGTATGTAGGGAATCCTACAGCTGCTGAGAAGCTCAAAGGTAGATGCAGAAATGATCCCTGGAGCAAATGTAGGTGGCTTGGTAGGACCTGTGAGGTCTAAGGTCATCTTCCATGGCCAAAAACCCAGTCAAGATGAAGGGATGTGGCTGAATCAGCCTCCCTGTTCTCAATGCAGAGAAGATGGACACAATCAGGCCTGTGTGGGTTGCAGATCCCGGGCTCCTAGGGTATATAGACTTTTATGTCTTGGGAAAATGTCCCAGGAAAGTGGGGCAGCCGCCATCTCATGGGACCCTTGGAAACAACTGTTAGGACAAAGTTGTTACCAAGGCAGTGATCTCATTCACTTCCCTGAAGAAAGTGACCTCACCTCAGTTCCTTGGTGATGGATTTCTCTGAATTTGGGATCCAGGAGGCGAGGCACTCACAGGCAGTTCCAGTCCCAGTGGGCTCACTTGTTTGTGTATACCAAGGCCAGAGTCATTCTTTCTTGGCACCTAGTGTTGTGTCGATAGCTAAATGCCTTGAATGCTTTGAACAAGGGCCTTTCCTGAGAAAGAAGTATTGGGTCATTGCTGGCTCCTGACAACTACACACAGATGGCCAAGGAGACCAGAGCTGAGACAGGACAGGCCACTGCTAAGGAAAATATTTTCACCCACCAGTCAGAGGACAGAGTGGATAGATGCAGACCAAATACAGGGGTGGTTTGTGTGTCTTAGTGGGTGTGTTTTTCAATTTGTCGTTTTGTCTCATGTTCTGAGAGCATGATTGAACAACTTTTTTGTTGTTGTTGGTGGTGGTGGTTTGAAATGGAGTGTTAACTAGTGAGTCTTTCAATGTCAGTGGATCCCACTGGGTTTGCGGTTAAATAGAGTAGAGAGAAGAATGCAGCCGTGTATGTATTCTGTCTAGTGGAAATCTTTGCAGGACTCCTCATGGCCAATTTATGAATGGACTGCTGCTTGCCTTGCAGATGGGCAACACCTACCAAGATCCTAAGTTCCTGTATTCTTC